CTACCGTTCTTGGGCTTGCAATAAACTCGCCGAGGACTCTTGCTCCAGTTCTTCGTCACCTTCACCCACTCCGAAAATCTCCTCCGACAGCACTGGACTAGTGTCTCGAAGGACATATCCGTGCCAACCTTGTACAGTAGCTGACGAAGCTTTTCCCAACCTATCCTGAGCTCTGCGAGCTCTTGAGGGTCGTCGGGGTTCTTCCATCGCCTGTTGCAGAACAAGTATCGTGCACCTGTGCGACGATAATATTAGACTCTTGCATGCAAACGGCTGCGCAAAGACGTACCGCTGCCCTTCGCAAAGTCTCTGACTTCTACATCGTTTGGTAGGTTACAGCGATTGCGTATCTTGATGAAGCCTCCTCTCTCAAGCACCTTGTTAAACTCCACTTCCGTGAGCCCAAAGCTCCCCACTGATTGCTCCCGACTTCGGACCACACCAGGGATGCATTCCTTTAGGCCATCATACATGGAAAGATAGCCCTTTCGAGGGATGAAGAGATGATTTAAGGTAGGAGTGATCGTTGAAACCTGAGCTCTTATCAACTTCGAGCAAAAGAGAATGATAGAGATCATCGCTCACCGTCTGCGCAAAGCAGAGACCAACGACCTTGCTCTCTTGAGTAGCTGCCGGTCTTACCATGGAGGCTAGAAGCAGGAAGAAGGGGACGAGTACGCGAAAACTGAATGGCAAATGTGGGGAGACAGGCAAGGTTTTATACCAAGAGTATTTTTGACAAAAAAAGAAACAGTCTCTCACTGAAACTAAGATTCCGAAGGTACCGTGACTTGAAGGGCAATGTCTGTCAGCACATGGTTTTACTACACAAGCACCTCCTTGTGACCCTTTTTTCGGGATCTGCCGATGGTACTTCGGAGAAAGAATGCTTTTTTTGCGGGAACTGCCGATGCCAACAGGGATGAAAGGGAGTGATTTCGATCATTCCCGTCGTGTGCCTTCAAAAATATCCCGCACAATGACCAGATGACCCGGTGCAACGCCGGTGGTTCATACCCTCGTGCCAGGGTTCAAGGGCAGAAGTAAACCGTGACTCGAAGCCGGTATTAGGAATATTCGGAATGCTCGAAAAAAAAGGAAGACTCTGGCAGGCTGTTGAACTTTTTACAAATGTTTTTCCGAGCTCCGAGCTCCGAGGGCTCCCCGGCGGACGGAGTCCCGATGATTTATTAAGTTGCAAGTTGCAAGCCAGTCTATTTATAATCATCGGTGACAAGTTGTGACGATTCTACGAGCCGCGCCCTCCACTACTAATAAGTTAACCGTCACGTTGGTCCGATCTTCACGTTTACTCAAAGTTAAGTTAAAAAGCAGTACGATCAGCATCATCGGAGCGCGGCCCGGCCTCTCACAGAGACTCAACTTAGGAGTTCGAGCGGCCGCCGCACGCGGCGTGCCGCAGTGAAGCGGCCGCGCCTCCGCCGGGCGGCCGGGTTCTTGAAGCCCAGTGCCTAGCCTCACGAGTCAGTGCTGCTTATATGTCCAAGGTCTAGTTCACGGTCCGGGCCGGCGTGTGCCCCGGCTTCACTGAAAATTTAACCTAGTAAACTTGAAAGCCATTAATAAACAGGATTTGGACAAGAACCTGAAATATTACTAATTGGATTTCAGGTATAGCTAAAAATCGTCGTATGACCCCCCTTTCCGCACCCACTACCAGGCTCCAGACCACAACTTCCACAAAACTGCGTAACACAAAACTATAGCCGGGTCAGATGATGGCAGGGTCAAAACTTGACACGATGACTCTATATGGTTGCGTTCGTCAGCTCAGTGGAGAGTCGGCATGAGAATCCGATTCGCATCATCGGACTTGAAACTTCACCGGGACTCCGTCCGGGAGCCGCTCGGAGCTCGGAAACACATTTGTAAAAAGTTGAATAGTGTCTTCCTTTTTTTTCGAGCATTCCGAATATTCCTAATACCGGCTTCGAGTCACGGTTCACTTCTGCCCTTGAACCCTGGCACGAGGGTATGAACCACCGGCGTTGCACCGGGTCATCTGGTCATTGTGCGGGCTATTTTTGAAGGCACACGACGGGAATGATCGAAATCACTCCCTTTCATCCCTGTTGGCATCGGCAGTTCCCGCAGTCACGGTACCTTCGGCATCTGAGTTGTCAATAAGTTTTCGCGTCCTGGTCCCCTTCTTCCTGCTTCTAGCCTCCATGGTAAGACCGGCAGCTACTCAAGAGAGCAAGGTCGTTGGTCTCTGCTTTGCGCAGACGGTGAGCGATGATCTCTATCATTCTCTTTTGCTCGAAGTTGATAAGAGCTCAGGTTTCAACGATCACTCCTACCTTAAATCATCTCTTCATCCCTCGAAAGGGCTATCTTTCCATGTATGATGGCCTAAAGGAATGCATCCCTGGTGTGGTCCGAAGTCGGGAGCAATCAGTGGGGAGCTTTGGGCTCACGGAAGTGGAGTTTAACAAGGTGCTAGAGAGAGGAGGCTTCATCAAGATACGCAATCGCTGTAACCTACCAAACGATGTAGAAGTCAGGGACTTTGCGAAGGGCAGCGGTACGTCTTTGCGCAGCCGTTTGCATGCAAGAGTCTAATATTATCGTCGCACAGGTGCACGATACTTGTTCTGCAACAGGCGATGGAAGAACCCCGACGACCCTCAAGAGCTCGCAGAGCTCAGGATAGGTTGGGAAAAGCTTCGTCAGCTACTGTACAAGGTTGGCACGGATATGTCCTTCGAGACACTAGTCCAGTGCTGTCGGAGGAGATTTTCGGAGTGGGTGAAGGTGACGAAGAACTGGAGCAAGAGTCCTCGGCGAGTTTATTGCAAGCCCAAGAACGGTGGAGCAAAGCAGGTTGATGCAGCGCTGAAGATTCCATCAGGGGAGCATCATTGCCTGTCGAGCTCCTTGCCGTCTTCCTCCACTTCATCTTCGCGCTCTACACCTGTCGATTTTGGGCGCCAGTCGGAAGAAGAGAATATTGCAGTATCATTGGTCGCCGGGCACAAGGGAATAGAGGAGCAGGATTTCGCATCGGCTTCCCAAGGGATGGCAGAGGATTTCCTGCTAGAGGAATTTCTTGGGGACTCGAAGGGGCTGGATTTATTTTTCGACGATGTCCTTCCACATGTAGGCTGGGATGTACCTGTGGAAGTTGCGTACCGAGAAGAGCTTGAAAGCGTCATAGTAGGAAGCGCTAGTGCACTACTGTAACGGTGATTGGTATGGTTGAAAGCAGCTGTAAGAAAGGAGAGATATTCTTGGATGTATTTAGGGTCAAGTTTGGTGAAATCAATAAATGGCATTCTCAATGTACCTGGCGCCCGTGACAACGGCGGCCGGCCGCCCCCGGCGGCCGCCCGGCCGCTGCCCCTGAGGGCCGGGCCGGGGCTGAGTCGGATCGGCGGACGCCGGCGGGCCGCGGGCCCGCGCGACTCGCCGCCACTGGGCGGCCTGCAGGTTTGCCGGCCCGGCGGCCGGGGCCGGCACCCGGTGACAGTGACCCGCGGGCCGGGCCGGCCCCAGCGGCCCGGGTCCGAGAGTCACGAGTCAGGCTGGCCCGGTGACTGCCGGGGCGGCCGCCGGGCCCGCCGGGCCGGCCGGGCGTCACGCCACAGGGCCACGGTACTACAAATTGCAATTAGAGCCGTGTCCATGATTAGTACCAGAAGGACAGGATCGAGAATTAACTAAAGCTACAAGCGAACGTAATGACGGTACCCGGTACCGTCGCCGCCGGTCCGACTCGCCGATCCGTCGTAGGCCGCGGGGCTCAGCGGCTACTAGCCCCGGTGACCGGGCGCGGGGCCGCCCGGTTAGGCTGTGCCACCGTACGCGGCGGCCGGGCCGGGCCGCTAGGGACGGTTCCGCGGCCCGGCCGCCCGGCCGGGCGGCCGGGGCGGGGGGCGCCGCCCGGCCGTTCCCGGGCTCGCCGGGGCCGGCCCGGCCCGGCCGGCGGCGGCCCCCTAGTCACTGGGCCTACCGTACCGTAGTACTCAGTAACTCCGCACGGTGGGTTAGGCTGGGCTCGGGGTAGGCAAAGCCTCTCGGAGGCTCGGAGTTTTAAGGACTTTGCATTAGAATTAAGTAACTTTTCGCTTGATTTTAAGGACTTTCCTTCTAAAAATAACTCAATTTCATTCAACTTTACGTATTTTTTACTCAAAAAGAACTGCTGCCTTTCAGAGGGTGGTTAATAATTTTGCTCAAGGGGTGGCATATACACAGCGAATAGGCATCCATGATCTACCAACTTACTTAGTGATCTAGAATATAAATATCCTCTATATGATGGCCTAGATCAACCCTGCTCTATCAAAATCGCCAAAAGGGGGTCCTTTAGAGAGTATGAGGGATGGAGGAGGGCAGAGAACACTTCCCCTCATCCTCCTCCTCCCCTCCTCCTACCCACCACCCCTCCCCCCCCTCCTGACCCTTTCTTTCCTCCCCCACCCCCTCCCTCGCCCCGTCCTCCTCCCCCCCCCCTTCCGCCGGCGGCAGCTTCTCCTCTCGTTCCCGGCTGCCCGTGCTCCCGCCGCCCATGTCGCGCCCTCCGCGCCCTCCTCCTCCGCCATGCATGCTCGCACGCCAGCATGGCGAAGCGCCCCCAGCTCTCGTGCTGCCATTATTGTCGCTGTAGCCCCGTGCCGATGCTTGCTTCTGAAGGCGCTCGTGAGGCTTGTGTTGATTCGGTGAAGTTGTAAATTCAGAATGTTTTATGCTTCGCAATCTTGTTCGTGCATGTGTGTTGTTCCTGGCGGATCTTCATTCCTCCACGCATTTGAGAGTAGCTCGAACCTGTAGTCCCTGGTTAGTTGAGAGTTCGGCTCCGCCGCGCCGTCCTGACGCGAGGCCGCGCCATCATAGCTGCTCATCAGAGAGGAATGGGAGGCAGATTGCTAACAATTTTCGTGCTCAGGTCCACACAACACCTGATCTTGGTTCCTCTCGTGGGAGGTCGCGGGAAGCACAAATGGCAAGTATCTGTTGTTAACAGTGTAAAATGTCCGAAGCTAGCCACAAGGACAGCGAGCAAGTGGCCCTGGATCAAGCAGGAAACGAGAATGGCGATGCTGAGAAGAGGAAGCGAAAGAGAGAGGGGGGAGACGTGAAGAATCAAGCCCAGACCATGACGAGGCCTCCCAGCCGCAGAAGAAAGTTATGAGCGTCAAGGTGATGTGCTCAATAAGCGGCACCCTCTGACAGCTCTATCAGGGACAAGGAGCTCAATGCTTTGAAGAAGGCAAGCGAGAGCCAAATGAGGATGAAAAATCTCGGATGCTTGCTCGAGATGTCAGTGGAGATCGTCAGAATGTGCGTGAATGCTTGAGCCGTCTTCCTGTCAGTGCACAGTCCCTAAACTCACTTGGTAGGGGGACACGGAAGGCACTCTTGCTTCTGCCGCCGAACAAGGTAACGCTGTTATGTGCTTGATGCAGCACGGCATGGTTGACTAACTCAGCAGCAGGTGGCAAAGGATCGAAGTTTGGGATCCTGCATGCCCAAGATGGAATGGCAGAGACAGGTGCAAGTCAATTCTGATCAATCAAAGTGCAGACGCGATGTTGACTTGCAGTCTCAGATGAAGGTGCTGAGAGCGATTCCCAAAACAAGACCCTGGATGAGTCGTTGCCAATGTCAGAATCCGCACTGTCATTATCCCAGGATTCCCAGGGGGTTGTTGATGTGACGACAAGCAGCTTCGGGCTGCGTTACCGCATCGAGGAACAACTTCAGAAGATGCCTCTCAGCGTTGATACAGATTTCGGGCAGATCACCATCTACTCGTTTGGCGCGATCGTTTTTGACGTGGAGGGATACTGGAATGCAAATCACATCTTCCCTGTAGGTTATTCGGGAATCCACACCCTCGTTACTGCGCAGGAAGATCCTGCCAAGATTACTTTCTTCTTTGAGATACGATATGATGGTGCTGGCCTGGGGAACACACCGCTGTTTGTAGTGTCTCCTCAATCCGTTCCACATGAGTTTTCCTCCGCTGACGCCGACGATGCGTGGAAACAAGCTCTGGATGAGACGAAAGCGACTTGGCCTTGGGAATCGGCGGCGATGCCTCCTGGTCCAGCGCTCTTCGGGTTGACCTGCGAGAAGATCAGGGAGAGAATCAACAGCATGCCTGGGAGTAGCCTCTGTCATGTTGGCTCTAGCCTGCACAAGGCTCGTCGCAGTGCCTTCCTTGAAGCCTCTCGTAGTCTCAAGGATGTAAAGAAGGGAAAAGATGCAGACAGTAGGAAATCAAGGGATGGAGACAGCCAGGATAAGGACAAGGGCACCAAGAAAGAATCAAGGGAAGAACGCAACCGCCGCAAGGAGGAGGCAAAGAAATCCAGGCTTATGGAACGAGAGCGATTGAGGAAAGAGAGGTTGAAGCAGAAACAGCAGGAGAAAGATCACCTGAATGAACTCAAGGAGAAGCAGAAACTAGAAGCGCAAAAGAGGAAGGATCAAGAGAAAGAGATCGTCAAGGACCTGCGAGAAAAGAGGCAAGCAGAGATAGAGAAAGCCAAGGAGGAGAGGAGGATCGCGGTTGAAAACTATAGAGAGATGGAGAAGAAAATTAGAGAGCAGCAGCGTCTGGCAAAAGTTCTTGAATTGAGACAGTCGGTGATGGAGGACCTGGAGTTGATGAACCTCAGGAAGTTTGAGAACCCCGAAGACAGCAAACCCATCAAGGACTGGTCGGAGCAGATTTTTGTCGAGCCCTCAGACAGGAAAGACATCCTGGAGTCAGAGAAACCGTGCCCGACCTTGCCTGAGCAGCACACCAGCGCGATCATTGAGATCTGGGAGTTTGTCAACATGTTCTCGGAGAGGTTGTGTTGTAAGAAAATGCCGTGGTCGGAGTTTTCGGAAGCGATCATGGATGAATGCTGTCTGGTCTTTCATGGCCTACATGTCCAACTTGTGAACATGATCTATCATGACTTGCCAGCTGCCGACCATCCTTTCCGTGGACGGCCGTTGAACAGTCTGACCTGGCCAGAATTGTTTCGTCAGTACTTGCTAATGGTGCGCCAAGAGTACAAGGATGAAGAACTGGATGAGCTGGCTACAAAGCTGCGCCTGCATGAGATGCAATTGTCTCTGGAGCACGAGCGGTACGAAGACCTTCCGTTTGATACCAGAATCCTGCTTCTTTCCTTCAACATGAACCTGGCCATGGAGACGCACACGATCCGCAACATGATCGACGAGCGCATCGAGAAGCATGCGTCTCTCCAGTATGAGAAGCGACAAGAATTCTATCAGCTAGCAAGAGATAGCCGAGAAGGCAAATCGACATTTGGAGACCGCAAGGACGAGTTGCCGTTGCACACGATCGAAGAAGTTGAGAGTGCAGTCATGGAGCTTCAGGACATTCTGACAGACGCGGTTTCGGATCCCGACGGTTCGTACGGTCCAGGTCTTTGGCCGACCGTGTCACTGGAAGCCATTGAAGTTATACGGGCCTCGGCGAGGATCTTGTTGGGATGCTTGGCGAGCGGAGAGTGCAGTTTCAAGTCATGCGATGCGATCAGGCGATCGTACATTCACGACCTCTCAAGTCGGATGGTGAACTCAGTGGAGAAGAACGGGAACAGGTGGCATGAGGAGTGGAAGACTCTGCTCAACAACTCCTTGGATCAAGTGCTGGGGACGCAGCCGTCGAGCCGACTCCCTGAAATCTTTGAGAACCTTGCAAACTTATACGAGCCTGAACCGACAGAGTCCGAGTATGTTGACAAGAACGGCTCAGAGGGCACGGAAAGGATGCAGGTTGGAGGAAAGACGATCTATGGGCTGTCAAATAGGGGCGCAAACCCTGAAGATGACGATCATGATGATGCTGAGGATGATGAAGAAGAGTATGATGAAGAATCCGAGGAAAGCGATGATGCCCACGACAACGATGAGGAGGGAGATAATGACGACGACGATGACGACGATGACGATGCTGAAGACAATCATCACAATGAGGAAGAAGATGAAGATGCGAACGATGATGATGCTGACGACGACGACGACGACGACGACGGCGATGAGGAGGATAGAAAGGAAAGTCTGCGGGAGTCAGGCAAGAAGCAGCATCGGGGCATACCACAGACAGACGGGCTGGACATCTTTCATTGCCTCTCACAAGTCGATGGTGCAGAGGATGAGGGGTCGTCGTTTCATCTCGGGTCTGACGACCAGGAATCTAATTTCTCCAATAGAAACTCCCCTACTGGCCTTGAGACCAGTGAGCTCGCCAGCCCAAGTCAAGGCAAGAAGGCCAAACAATCTCAGCCGAAAAAAGATGTCAAAGGATCCGACGGTGCCAAGAAGAAAGCAGGCGACTCATCTGAAAAGAAACCTGCCAAGAAACCTTCTCAGAAACAACCGGCTGGCCCGAAACGTCCACAGCCGGCTTTCTTCCACTACTGCAACGCAGTGCGAGATCAAGTCAAGCTCGAAAACCCTTCGTGCTCGTTTGGCGAGCTGTCGAAGCTGATCGGAAAGAAGTGGTCGGAGCTTCCTGCAGCAGACAAGGTCAAGTACGTCGACATGGAGGAGAAGGACAGAGAGAGGTACAGCGCAGAGATGAAGTCGACCATGTTGGGAGGGAGCCCCCCTGCGAAGGCATCCAAGTCGACGATCAAAACGGAGAAAGACAGTGAGTTGCCTGAAGACACGCTGATGACCCTAGAGGACGACAGCGAGTCTGACACGTCATCACCGAGCGCAAACCAGGACGCGAGCGAAAGCGAGCACAGAGCCAAAGGAGGGCACGTGGGGGCTGATGGCAAGAACTCCAAGGGCTCCAGTGTCAGGATCACTGTCATCCCGATGAGAAAGGCGAGCATGAACGCGAGCAGTAGGAAAGGAGCCTCGAGGAAGATCCGCAAGGGAGAGGAGCCTGTTGACTGGATCCAGTGCGACTCGTGCAATACCTGGCGATTCTTCTACCCCGGGCTTGCCCCGAACACTGTGACTGAAGCGTGGAACTGCAAGCAGGCAAAGAGAGAATGCGGTCAGTTGAGAATGGAAGAAGAGTTCATGAAGGACTGGACTGACATGATGAAGAACGACAACCAGGCAACTTGTTATAAGTTTGTCCTCGAGGGCGTCACGTTTGTTGTCTACGAGCTGTACTGGTCGGTGATCTCCCTCGGAGGGTCCAGCGCTGTCTCCAAGTGGAAGGACGTCGGCAACGACATGATGTGGCGGAAGAAGGGTGTGCTCGTGAGCAAGACCCCAGGGAAGAACTACGGGCTGATCAAGAATCAGTGGGAGCGATGGCAGCTATCAAAGTTCGAGGAGCTCTACTCGTCCAAACCCGTGCCGGAGGAGTACCTTGCCCCTGCTGTGGATCCCAAGAGGAAGGACAAGGACAAGGAGACTGCTGCTATCCACTCTCCCCTTAGCATCGACGCACCCAACTCCAACTCCAAGAAAGAGGCTCCGTGGAAGGGAAGGAAGATGTGGCCAAGGAAAGAGATCAGCTTCCCGGCGGAGACAGGCTCTCCTGTCCCCTTTGAAAGCACCAGCCCCATTCCTTCGATGGAGTCTCCAGTCATCCAGGCACAGCTCCCCCCTCTGCCTGTCTATAACCCTCTTCCTCCTCTCCCCGAGCTGACCTACGACGACAAGCTGCACCTGCGCATGAACGAGAGCGTCTCCTTCGCGCGAGGGCTGCGGGTGGACGGCGAAGTCTCCGTCAAGAAGGCCAACGACGTGATATGGAGGACGAGGCTCGAGGCCGTGAAGCTGCGCGACGAGCCGCTGGGGCAGGATCGCTTCTTCAACCGCTACTGGGTGCTCAACGACGACTTCTCCAGGATCTGGGTGCAGAGGGTCAACTCGGAGCACGGGCTGGAGTCCTCGTGGGGGGCATACACGACCATCGAGGAGGTAGACAAGCTAATAGGGCTCCTCGACCCCCACGGCATGCGCGAGAACAACCTGAAGGAGGTGGGGCAGAGGCGCTGATGCTGATGTGTGCTGACCGGCTTGCAGTCGTTGGAAGCCTACCGGGATGACTTCAATCGTGCGATGCACAAGAAGGAGGAGGGAGGAGGAGCATCCAAGTCGCAGGAGGAGGATCCTGACCTGCAAGAGCTCAAAGTCACGCACGACAGCATCAGCACCAAGGCCGCTCACTTCCTGGTTGTGGAGAACAAGTCCAAGTTCGAGCACGCTCTCAAGATCAAGTTCCACCAGTCAGTTTTCGGCCTGTCGCACGGGAGTGAGATGCAGGTGTGATGTCGTCGGGATGCCAGGGGAAGCGTCTGGTTGACCCGATGCGCAGGAGATGAGGAGGGTGTTCGCTATCCCCGCGGAGATTTGTACAGAGGAAGCGGGAAAGGTCAGACCAGCTCGAGGAGTTTTCAACCTCTGAATAGCTGCAGATTCATATCTGTGAGAATCTCCGCAAGCTCAAAGGAGATGCGCTGACTATCCACATGGTCCTCGATCCTCCTCCTCTCCCTCCTGCTGACTCACTTCGCAGGCGATCTCGGAGCTGCATGGCGGCGAGCTGAGCTTCGGCGACTTGTCAAGGAGGGAGTGGATGGCGACGGTGAGCTCTTCTTGTGCTCGAGAGCATGCGGCAGCTCACGAGTCTTCACCTCGCAGCTCAGGGATGCGGCGAGTGCTCAAGAGATGGAGCCTATCATAGAGCTGCTCATCGAGTCAGGTCAGTCTGCCTCCATCCGCTCCCCCCACCTTCCCCTCCACTCCCTTCCTCTCCTCTCCTCTCCCTCCTCCTCCTCCCTGCTTTTCCTCTCCCTACTTGCCCATCCCCTTCCCCTTCTTTCGTCGATGCATCTGACGTCAAAGCTAGTCAACTCCTGCTGGTTGCATCCTTGGTTTTCCCACATCCCCAGGTGAGCCGCGTGCTGCGCCTTTTCCCTCGCTCGCTCGCTCGCTCGCTCCTCCCCACCTCCCCTCTCCCCCTTTTCACACTCGCCGGCTCTCATCTACGTTTCTCCCTCTTTTCCGTGTCCTCATCTCGACGCAGGGCTCGATTCTCGACCCTGGAGGAGACGGAGGTGAAGGAGTCGCAAGCTGACGGCAAGGAGCACGATCATGCAGCTGTTAGCATGGAGGTGGACGAGGATCAGCAGGCGCAGGAGGAAGAGAAGCGAAGCATCGTCACTTGTGCAACCGTCGCCCTCCTCCTGTCAGTTCCCCACCCCACCCCCCTGCCTCCTCGTTGACGAGTTGCACTCTCAGGTATGGTCTTGATGACGCGCTAGTTTACGACAAAACTGGGAAGAGTGCCGCTCCTGCGGCCAAGCCCTCGTCCAAGAAGAAGAAGTCAGGGAAGAAGTGATTGGTTCGAACAAACAGCAACAGATTGCATGTCTCTCAGATCGTCGTTGTATTCTTTTCGGAGCTGATGTCCGAAGTCAGTTCTGAACCATGTGGATAGGATGTAAAAAAGGAAATCTCCCAATGAAACAAGCTTCATTCGTGAATCATGTCATGTCAAGCAAAGATCAAGATGGTTCTTGCTCGACTGCTGACTATCTCTTCACCAGAACTTCTGATGTGTTGAGAACGAAAAGTGTCCTCTCAGCAGCTTGTCGTTGGAGTAGGTCGAGATCAGTTTCTAACAGACCAAAAGTCAGAAAGATGATGGGGAGAAATAGAATAAACATGATCTCTCCTTTCCCCCTCCCTCGCTCCCTCCCTCGCTCCTCCTCTTTCCTCGCTCCCTCCCTCCCTTGCGCTGCCGTCCTCTAACCTTCATCCATTCTCTTCTGTAGTTCTTTCTCACCTCTGCAAAGATGCTCAACTCCTTCACCTGTTCCTACTTACTTGCACCACTTTCGCGTCTGCTCTTACTTCACCTCGTTTTCTATTCCCACCTGCTGCTGCTGCTGCTGCTGCTGCTGCTGCTGCTGCTGCTCTCCTCCTTCATCAATAAAACACATCAAGCTAAAACATTTCATCATGGTCAAGATCAAATTTCATCATCTTCTTTGTAATTTGAACAGAATCGCTAAGTCCATTGCAATAAAGTGTCATCGTCATTTTTCTAACAAGATCGTTGTCATCTGTTTCATCCTTATCACCTCTCTCGTAATTTCAACATCATCTCAACAGCCTGTTCCTCCAACACTACCATGTTCTCAACTCATGCTCCTCTTCCTCCTTGTCCTTGTCCTCGTTCTCGTCTTTGTCCTCGTCCTTATCCTCGTCCTTGTCCTCGTCCTTGTCCTCGTCCTTGTCCTCGTCCTTATCCTCCTCCTTGTCCTCGTCCTTATCCTCGTCCTTATCCTTATCCTCGTCCTCGTCCTCGTCCTCGTCCTTATCCTCGTCCTTGTCCTCGTCCTTATCCTCGTCCTTGTCCTCGTCCTTGTCCTCGTCCTTATCCTCGTCCTTGTCCTCGTCCTCCTCCTTTTCACCTCGGTCGGCTGAAGTTTCTTGAACATTCTTTGGCCTTTCGCTGAAGTTGACCCCACCCCCTCCTTGAAGCTTTTTTGTAGTCCGAACACCCCTACCAGTCCAATTATATTTTTTTAATTTTACGGTTTTCTTTTTTAGATTTGTTTTTTTGTTTTTTTGCTTCTTGCCGGATGCCCTGCGCACAGGTTGTGCAGAGGAAAATGGAGCAGGGGCAGGCGCAGGCGCAGGGGCAGGAGCAGGAGCAGGAGCAGGAGCAGGAGCAGGAGCAGGAGCAGGCGCAGGAGCAGGAAGGAGGAGGGGGAGGAGAGGGGGGCTGGGGGTGGAGCAGGAACAGGAGCAGGAGCAGGAGCAGGAGCAGGAGCAGGAGCAGGAGCAGGCGCAGGAGCAGGCGCAGGCGCAGGAGCAGGCGCAGGCGCAGGAGCAGGAAGGAGGAGGGGGAGGAGAGGGGGGCTGGGGGTGGAGCAGGAACAGGAACAGGAGCGGGAGCGGGAGGATCGAAGGAGAGAAGCAAGCAGCAATGAAGGAATTATGTTCATAAGATTGAAATCAGGGCCATTGAGTCATGATGAGGCAGGTAGATGGAGAGGAAGAGGGAAATCAGATGGAGGATGCAATGAGAAGGACTTTACGACAGGAATACGATGTGAGCCTGGTAGACAAGATGTGGAAAACTGTGATGGAAATTAACAAAGAAGCAGAATTGTTGTGATCGATCATATGTTTTACCTTCTTGATCTTGGTGTGAAAGATCCGTGACGTGTTGGATGAGTGTTTGCTCAAGGAATTCTTTTTCAGATTCACAAGTTTGGCCTTGTTTGCATTTCAATCTTGACCTTCGTGGATTCATCATCTGCTGTCGGACATTCCATCATGAGAGGAGCGGGAGGTTCCAGAGGATACAACAGAGGCTATGGAGGAGGAGGAGGAGGAGGAGGAGGAGGAGGAGGAGGGAGAGGGAGAGGATGGTATTACAAGCAGGTAACCGTTGCCTTGTAGGAGCGAGCAACACTGACGATCATGCCAGATGTACGGAGGAGGGAGGAGCAGAGAACATGGGGAGGAGGCGGGAAGGGACGACCGCGAGAGGAACGACTACATGCAAGCTGAGCCATCGGGCGGGCGTTCTAGCAGGGACCTCGACGCTCTGCTGCGGAGGCTGGACGGAGCAGGATACAAGGCATACCATGACCTCAAAGGCTCCTGGAGTTTCGACGATGTCTTCACCTTAACCTTCGATCACATCCAGTCTGACTCGTACGCTCCTCCTTCCCGCTGCCACGTCCGGGTGGCCCAGAGTGCCGCCAAGTTCCCTGCCGGTCTGTTCGACAAGGAGGCGAGGAGGATCGGGTTGTGCGACTTTCTTGCGCGGTCCTTCTGCGCGGTTGTAAGCGAGCAGGGGCTGAACCAGGCGGCGGCGAGTCAGGGGTGGAGTGGCCCCAAGGGAGGAGACTTGCAGATGGAGTGTCCTGGACAGAAGGTGAGGAGAAGAACGAGGAGGAGGAGAAGAACGAGGAGGAGGAGAAGAACGAGGAGGAGGAGGAGGAGTCTGATGTTTGCAAGGTTCTGGAAAGGACTAACGTTCTCATCTCTCCTGATTTCGTGGAGGCTCGATTCACCGTTGCTCTTCCTGCTGCAGGGTGAGACGCGAGGAGGAGGTGGGGTGGAAGAGGAGGAGGGAGGAGGTCGAGAGGATGTGAGGAGGAGAAAGGGAAGGGAGACTAGAGGTGAGACTTAGATGGGAGGAGGAGGAGGGAGTTCCTGGAAAGGAGGGTGCGAAGGGAGGAAAGGAAGGAGGAAGGAGGAGGATAGACCTTGACAGGTTTCCTTTCTCATTCGTTTCCATGCAGTCGATCGATCCTCGGAGGGAAGGCCAGGAGCATCCTCATCGAGGCGCTTCCGCGAGTGATCCAGCGAACCCTCGTCTACAATGCGCACGAGTGAGAAGTTAGAGGGGAGGAGGAGGAGGAGGTTGCAGAGGAAGACGATGAGAGGAGAGGGGTCACACCAAGGAAGATCCGTCGAACAGGGGGAGGAGCAGGAGGAGCAGGAGCAGGTGGAGCAGGAGCAGGAGGAGCAGGGACAGGGACAAGGGCAGAAGAGGGGCATGCGAAAAAAGAGAAGGAGAGAGGGAGAGAAGAGGGAGTGGGGAGGTAGAAGCAGTAGAGGCGATCTGATTTCAGCGGTCAGCCCAGCGAAGGTCAAGCAGCATGTTGACTGCGTTGAAGACACCGAGACCCTCCGAGGAAAACTGCAAGAGGCTGGACTGGTCTGAACCCTTGTACCAATATTTCAAGCTAACTCCTGCTCCTGCTCCTGCTCCTGCTCCTGCTCCTGCTCCTGCTCCTGCTCCTGCTCCTGCTCCTGCTCCTGCTCCTGCTCCTGCTCCTGCTCCTGCTCCTGCTCCTGCTCCTGCTCCTGCTCCTGCTCCTGCTCCT